GTCCGTGAGGATGTGAAATCGAAAGAGTGGCATGGAACCGGTCTTAGAAATTTTTGCCTACTATGCAGAAGCTGGGGCCTATTGAAAAGAGGTCACTCCTCTTCAATCGGCCAGATGCCTTAGTAAGGGTTGGTAACATCGCTCAGCTACCAGTAGGTATGGGAATCGAGTTTTGTTCTCGTGGTGGTGAGTGACTGATAGTTGAGATCTCTGCTCAGACAATGTCAGGATCGGCTGCTACTTGTAACGAATATTCCTTTCTCTCTTACTGGCTCCCTCAGAACTTCGTGCAGGTATCCTCGAAGTTTGGATACTGTGGCTTCGCTCCACAGTTTTGCCGTCTAAGAAAACGGGGTCCGCGTCATAGCCTTGTTTGGCCCTTGACACAGCTGTTCGCAGTTTTTGTCTCAGCTGCATTTCTCTGATTCGATTGAGCAGTAAGACTTGCTCAACCTAAAATGGCTTGTGAGCAGTTGTTATATGACCGACATCCACATGAATGTGTTTGGAAACTTCAGCGTTCTGGTCACCTTTCTCAAGCTAACTCACGTATTGCGGTCTATCCACTTCATCATATTTTTCCTGAGATCTAAGATAGCATAACTTACGGGCGGTATATGGTACATATATGGGTCCATACACTTCACTGAGGCAGGGATAGCCGAGTGGTTAAGAGGTTAGACTCATGTCTGCACCTCTGAAAACCGCGAGTTCGATCCCTGCCGAGGCTAACCATGCCTTGCAAAAATTGCAAAAATGGTTCTAGTACCAGCGTCAGGCCCAGGTTGACAGGCCGGCTGATGAACACCCCAGTCACACCAAACATGTCTAAAGTCGCAAAAGAATCAGTGATAAAGCTAGGACGTCACCCGGAAGTGGCGCGCAGAACCCCGCCCGAGTTCTGTGGTCAGTATGCGAGGGCTACCGAGGAGTGAACGGCCTCGGCCAAAGAAGCTAGTTCGAATTGGACTGAACGTAGGATCGCTAACTGGGAAGTCCCGAGAGGTTGCTGATCTGATGACGCGCAGGAATATCCAAGTCCTATGCCTTCAGGAGACGCGATGGAAAGGTGCTAAGGCCAGGGAAATCGGGGAAGGTGTCAAACTCTACTACAATGGAGAAGACACCAAGCGGAACGGTGTGGCCATAGCGTAGCGGAGTCGCTCAAGGACTATGTCTCCGCTGTGAACAGGATCAGCGATCGGATCATGGCTGTGAGGATAGACACGAAGGAGGGGTACTGGACCATACTCTCCGTGTACGCACCGCAAGCCGGATGCCCCGAAAGTGATAAGGACGAGTTCTATCTGAGCCTGGACGAAGCCATAAGATCGTCCCGGAATACTGAACCATCAGATCGACCTCCGGAAGGTGACTACCTCACCATAGCAGGTGATCTGAATGGTCACGTCGGCAGTGACAGAAGAGGCCTGGAAAGGGTGCACGGAGGTAGAGGAATAGGAGTGAGGAACGCCGAGGGAGAGAGGGTCCTGGACCTGGCTACGGCCCACGATCTGGCAATCTGCAGCACGTTCTTCGCGAAAAGGGAGACTCAGAAGGTCACCTACAGCAGTGGAGGACGACAAACGGAAATCGACCATGTGCTGGTAAAAAGATCATCCCTCAGAACTGTGAAGGACGTCAAGGTACTCCCTGGCGAGGAGCTGGCTTCCCAGCACAAGCCACTCCTGGCAGACATAGCCATGGAGCTCCCCAAGAAGACAAAGGTAAGAACCGAGAGGAGAATCCGGTGGTGGAAGTTGCACCGTGCAGAGAAGAGTGACCTCAAGCGAAGGATAATGGAAGTTGGTCTCCCAGATCCTGAGGGACCAGTGCAGCAGGACTTGGGGCAATGCAGCTGAGATCATCCTACGATGCGCCAAGGAGGTACTGGGAGAGACGCGAGGTGGATTCAGAGGAGACAAGGCAGCGTGGTTCTGGAACGAGGAGGTCCAGCGAGTCGTGAAGCAGAAGAAGGAAGCATACAAGCGCTGGCAGAAGACCCGGAGCCCCGAAGACCTCGCTGCCTACAAGAGTTGCAAGAGGCTCGCTAAGGCTGCCGTAGCCAAGGCAAAGAACACGGAGATGGACGCCTTGTACGAGAAGTTGGAAAGCAGAAACGCAGAGAAGTCGTCTTCAGACTGGCCAAAGCCCGGCATCGGGCTACTCAAGATATCAGGGTGGTGAAGAGCGTGAAGAGCAACAACGGCGCCATACTGAGGAAGCCAGCCCAAGTTCGGAGGAGGTGGGAAGAGTACTTCAGAGGTCTTCTGAACGAGGAGTTCTCCCACGAGAACAACTCACGGGCAGAGGCCACAGCTGGTCCCATCGCACTCTGGACAGAGGATGAGGTTCGGCGTGCACTTGGGAAGATGAAGGTTGGAAAGGCAGTTGGTCCGGATGGAGTACCCATAGAGGCTTGGAAGGCCCTGGGAGAGCACGGGGTGAGGTGGCTCACCCGCTTCCTGAATACGGTGACTGCCGAAGGAAGGATGCCGGATGCCTGGAGAACAAGCACTATCGTCCCCATCTTCAAGCAGAAGGGTGACGCGATGGACTGCTCCAACTACCGCGGCATCAAGTTGACTGCGCATACCATGAAGTTGTACGAGCGCCTGGTCGACTCGAAACTGCGGGAGCTGGTCCAGATCTCCCAGGAACAGTTCGGGTTCATGCCCGAAAGGTCTACAACGGATGCCATCTTCATCGCTAGGCAAGTGATGGAGAAGTATCGCGAAAAGCGCAGGCCTTGCTACCTAGCCTTCCTCGACCTGGAGAAGGCGTTCGACCGGCTACCGCGAGCAGTGCTATGGAGGTCGCTTAGGGAACGAAACGTGCCAGAACACCTCATCTCTCTGGTGAAGGACATGTACGAAGGAGCCAAGGCAGCTATACGCACCCCATACGGCCTAACGAAGGAGGTGGACATCACGGTCGGGGTGCACCAAGGGTCAGCTCTGAGCCCGTTCCTCTTCCTCCTAACACTAGATGTCCTGGTGAAGGGGCTCATGGAGGGACCACTGAAGACTATCCTCTATGCTGACGACGTCGCCTTGATAGCTGATAGCAGAGAGGAACTTCAAGCCAAGGTGCAGAAATGGCAGAAAGTCCTGACAGAAGGTGGGCTACGGCTGAATGTCAAGAAGACCAAGTTCCTGAGCTCCGAAGAGGGTGCAGAGCCGATCGTGGACGGCCATGGTGAGACCATCGAAAGAGTGGAGGACTTCCGATACCTTGGGAGCGATCTGGCAGCCGACGGTAGTGTGGATCAGGCGGTGAAGGCTCGGGTCAACGCTGCATGGATGAAATGGAGGGAGTCCACTGGAATCCTCTGCGATCGAAGGTGCTCCAGAGCGCTCAAAGGGAAGGTGTACCGGACAGTGGTAAGGCCTGCGATGCTCTACGGCAGCGAGTGCTGGCCCCTGAACAAGAATCACGAAAGGCAGCTTCACTCTGCCGAAATGAGGATGCTGAGATGGGCCTGCGGCTGGACGCGGCTGGACAGGTTAGAAACGAGGATGTCAGAGCGGTCATGCAGACTGCCCCTGTCCAGCTGAAGGTACGGGAACAGCGTCTGCGATGGTATGGGCATGTGCTAAGGAGGCCACAGGACCATCCGATAAGAACAGCGATGGACTTCGAAGTACAAGGCAAGCGACCGCGAGGAGCCCCAAAGAAAAGGTGGAAAGACGTAATCAAGAAGGACCTAGGTGAGGTCACGGCCACGATGGAAGATGCCCTGGACAGAGCAAAGTGGCGACGACTGACAAAAACAGCGGACCCTGCGACTGCGCGGCGTTAGGTCGCGGAGCGATCAGGATTCCGAAGAAGTGCGATATACATTACCGGATGTCTGACATATGGTTAGCTGTGTGAGAGATTGGACATTCTGTTGAAGCTTAGGCGCACCATAAGATGAAGGCCGGCCGGTAAGTCGTCAAATTTGTTTGGAATGGTATTCACAAGAGGAAAGGGAATGAAAGGTCTCCCAAACCTATTAAAGGAATCCTTACAGGAAAAATCATGATTCTATTTCAGCCATAAATCACTGGCTTGAGACTCATCATTCACGATAAGAATGAAAAGAACAGAAAAATTGCATTTGTTTTGGTAAAAAAATTCGAAAACCGAAAGGGCTGCTACGCGTTCAAAGTACCGCCGGACATCTGTCACAAATGCTGGCGACGGGAATGCTTCCACTTGGTTCTTGGAGTGCCTTCACTAGAAACTCTTTCTGGCCTTTTGACTTATTGCATTCACATCTCACACTTCTACTGCATCCTATTCTATCGATCGATTTGTCTCTACTCTCCAAAATCGCACGCTTCAACCCGATTTCATTGCGTCGCCTGATACGTAGCCGCCCCAAGGCGGACTTCTTTCCATGCCCCGCCTTTGGCTCCGCGCCCTTACCTTCGATTGTCCAGAGTGTAGTTTTTGTACGTTTGTTTCTCTTCAGAAACCGAATCTTCATGCGTGAAACTTTGTGTGCTATTTCCAGTGATCACAACTGACATATTCATGTTAGGAAAGAATGCAAGAATTTTCCGCGCAAGATTCCTTTAAAGTATTGGCGTGTATAGAATTTAGGCTTAAAATGTGGTGCAGTACTTATGGGACACCCTGTATTTTATAAGCAATTACATTTGGATAATTAGTGGCAAAACAAACCAATTTATTCTTTATTCACAGTAAACTTCTTTCCTATTCACGGTCTTAGTTATGAATTCAAATAGCATGCGTATGCTGAAGAACATATATTATTATAGAGGTAAGCAGTGCCTACTGCAGCACACAAAATAATATTTGCAAATCAAACACAGGTGAATAGCTCATCATCTAGTTTAACAATGTCAGTAGTGGCAGTAAATATGATTACCACAGCGTGAAACATAACCTTAGCAGATCAGACACATACCAAATTGTCAGGGTAAAAGTTAGGATGATTCAATAATAATGCCTACAAAAAGCAAATCATAGTGGAATAAATCGGGGCTAAGTCAGTTAAACACGAAACTGAGGTCGAGTATTTTGTGAACCCACCAGCGCTCGATGTTCGATCGCGCCTGAAAAAATCTCTTGCGCACATACAATGAACATGTAAACTATGCTTAACTGAACTGCAAATTATAGATTCTTGCCGAAATATGATGCCCATCAGCAGTACCCAGCAAAGGACGGGGATTTGTCCTGGGGACTGCTGCATGGGGGACCCAGATTACACAATGATATGTGTGGGAGGCCAAGAATACAACGCAGTGATTTTATCATCCCAGATGAATATGGTTCCAGTCGCTGTTGTTGAATTCGACCCCATTCAGAGAATAGTTATGAGGAATGATTCAAGAAACTAACCAGGAAAGCCCTTCAGGTCATTGAGTGCTTTTTCAAAACGGTTTGTTGCATATTACAGGGGTACTTGCGTGGAGCATAAAACTGATGATCTTTTTTTTCTGAGCGGCCCTGGGATTGCCAGGAGAAAGGCAGGAAAATTTCCTTGAAAAGTGAAACTTTTCAGTTTTTAAATGAACTCTATAGTATTTGTTCGGTCGAAACGTTGACATTCGAATGCTTTTTGTTAGATGAATTATGTTAGATATTTATGAGCCCAAGAACATGAAATTTCAGAGAAATGCAAGAATTTGTCTCTAGTGGGGATTGAACCGCAAGCTCTGGTTTCGACATGGTTTTTTTAGCTCTACCAAAGTCGCTCAGAAAGAATTGTTCTCAGTTTTGTGCTCCCTGTTTATGTCTCTGCAGCATGCAAAAAACTGTATTGGAAAAGCGCTCTATATCCTGGAAGATTTTTCTGGTAATTCAATGTACTATTTTTTGAATAGATCTAACCCTCACAGTGCTCAAGGAGCCAGGACGGCTGTTGCTGCTAGACATCATCCGCTCAACCATTGTCTTCACATATCGCAGACGACTCATGAGTGCCTGGAAAAAATAATCATAACTACCATAGAGCACTAGCAGTGAAACCATATAAAACAAATAAATAATGAAACCAGAACAGGAAGTAAGAGGGAAAGTAACAAGTAGATCCGCTACCTTTGTACATCCATGACTTTGCAGATGTGATAACTTATAGACACGGAAATTTCTGTGCTCATCAATGTATGTAATCGCTCCCATCAAAGGACAAACGATCGTCTTCGTGTGATCCTGCGTGTTGAAAAGTTAAGATCATGATTTCCAATTACGAAAAAAAAACTCACTTCAAAGAAATTAATCTGTAGTGTTCCATTAGATAGATGCAATACTATTGCAGACCGTGTTCGGAACCAGTACCGAAGAACCGGAAGACGTGCCAAATCGTCACCATCCTTGAATTCGAAATGGTAGCCATTTTATAGTTCACTTCACAAAAGGGTAGTGGACTTACTTTCTTTACTACGTGGGCTCCTGCTTTTATTAAATGCTCGTTCATATAAGCACGGAAATATTTCAACAAAGTAACCTTAAACATAAACATTAGCATAACTACGACCAACTAGAGGGTTTTAAACGCTCACCTTTTTAGCTAAAGTATCGGGATAAGACTCTATACCGTAATAGTTTTCTGTCTCGTTTTTCTCTATATACGTCAGTTCATTGCCAGCCTCATCGAGTACCAGCTTCGAACTATCATTAAACAAGGACTCCAACCTGTAAATGAGCCTATTTTTCTGCTAAGAAAACACCATATGCATATAGAACTTTCAAGGTTCCCTCATGAATCACAATGAAAAAAAGAAAGGAATCGTATCGCATTTTACAAGGTATTAGTATTCTGCCGATGCAACGTTTCAACGTTTCAAAACGTTCGTCAATTTTCATGATCTGATTCCCACTTAATGTTAAACAACCCTTACCGAATTATCACAAAGCTGATATCCAATTCCGTACTTATCGGAGTAATCAACCCATTTACTAATCCAGAATATAGGCATAGCTTCAGGAGCTTCATCTTCCACTCGCAATTCTCGCTGAAACATGCAGCGTATTAATTATGCAGCAGCTTTGTATTCGTTACTGCATCACTTACGTCCGCAACTCTTGCATTACAAAGTGAGGAAATCTGTTCGTACAGCTCGGACAAGTAACCATCTTCCGGCACCTTGGCAACACCCAAGCCTAAAAAGAGAAGCTATACGATTGAGATTAAAATAAGCCAAATGTTTTACCACCTCTATCGACACGTTCTCCATCCATGGCCTTGTTCTCAGGAACAGCATTCAAAGCACGGGCGTGGCCAGTCATCAGATCTTGTCTATAATCACATATACCGTTCGTTATTATTATCATATTACCATTCAATCCTATTTATTTTATAGTTTGACATACTTCACCAACTGTTTAGGACTGAGAACACCAGCAGGAACTCCTCGCTTGTCGGAGGTAGCAAGAAGGCCAACCTGATAATAATGAAAATATGGTAACTGGACTAAAGGTATGATCATATGATCGCGAACCTCGCTATGACGATTGAACTTCGGTGCCATTGTAAGGCAGGAAATTGGAAGTCGTGTTGGCATATAACCAGAACGGAAAAACTCATGGGCCAACACCTGTTGAAGGAAACATTATAGACGAACTCAAATGGAACAGAATAGGAACTCGAAAATAATATCAGAGGAGAGTTAGCAAAACAGCAGTTTTTTCATCTACAAAGTAATGTCTTGAGTAAAACTAAATCTTTCTTTCTACGGAAATGTTAAGGCAGACTTCCTTCTCAATTCGAGACTGAATCCAAAAGAAGAAAGAAAGTGTAGGTTAGCTGGGACATCATTTGATTTATGGCTATCTCACATTAACAATGAAAAATGTACCTGTTTCACGGTGGGCCGTTTTGCAGGATCGGCGGCCAAAAGATTTTGGATGAGATGACTGACAACTTGACCGGCGTTCGATGGAACGCGATATTGATTCATTTTTATGCGGCTGTAAGTTTCCTGAACAAGTAGTCTTAATTCGCTAACAATGATCCGTGCTAAAAATGCATTGACAACTGAACGAGGATACTGGTTCTATAATCGTCGGTGTCCGAAACTGACTTTTGTAATCACTACACACTGTAGTATTTATAGTCATTTCAGCTTCAGCTCATCTCAACAGCGAGAACAACATATGGGGCGGTATTCAATCCTTCCCCCGGGGATATATCCCCCTCCTCTGATTCAATCCTCTGGGGGGACAAAAAAGGGTTGCGTCATAGGACCTAGCATACCTCTGTGTTTCTACCCTC